TCTTTCACTATAGCCTTGAATATGCACTACCAGCCTGTACACGGTTTTATAAAACAGAAACAGGTTTCGTACGTTTCATATGGTTTGTTACAGACATTCAGCACACCGAATCATCATCCACGTAGTCAGCCGTTCTTCGATCATGTGTTCTCCTTCTCCGTAACTCCAGATCTCAAGATATGGTTCAGAAATTTCCAAATAGTTGATGAGTCATTGCAGTTGCAAGAAATTGGTGGGTTTTTTGCAATTTACGAAATACACGGTGTAAAAAATGTGGTTTTGTTCTAGGACCCAGATTTGTTTTGGAAACGATAAGGATATTTTCTGGATCGTTTGATGGCGCTGTCCTTTATGATAATCCTGATTATGAAAGCCCGAATGCTAAGAGAAGGGCGATTAAATTGGCAAGCAAAGGAAAATATATAGAGAAGGAGCTACATAAGAAGGTAGAGTTGCTACATGACCTTTTTGAGTGTTGTAAAATTGAGCTATTCCAGGCGAATTTAGTAAAAGCCCAACAGATCAAGGAAGTTATAGCTGAGAAGATGGAGGATCCAGTTGGAGAGGTATGCCATTTGTTACCTCTTTTATTATCTGCCAAAAAATAGTGGGAAGTGGGGGGTTGAAGGGATTTTGTATTTTGAGGAGATGTGATGTTAGTTTTTGGGGAATTTCAGGGTGGTTCAAAATTTTTAGCACACTCCGATTCTTTCAAAACGCTTTGTTCATAAACCTGTTCAACCTAACTCGAACAATCTGAATTGAAATCAATTAACTCGAACAATCTAAATTGAAATCAGTCATTGAAAGCAAAAAAGTTATGGTCCGGCTGGCTTCTATTGGTTCATATCCTTCTTTATGAACCCTCAGAGTATCTGAGCGTGAACTTCAGATCTTTGATGTCAAAGAAGAGCCAGAAACAGAAGAAGCCCAGAAAATCCTAGCAAAGATAGATAAGAAGAAAAAGAAGAAGAAAACTTTCAAGAAACCCAAGTACACAGGACCGGAAGCTGCCTAACCGGTTGAAGGACCTGTTCATCCTATTCGAAACATGCATTCAGTTGAATCTTTGTTATTGTTGCTGCCGCTTGTTATTGTTACTTGTTGTTATATGTCTGAGGATTTGTTTACAAATGAAGTAAATGTTTATATAACTTCTGTTTATGGTGATTAGAGTGTTATTTGAAGCACAACATATCGATTTTCTCCGTTACTTCTCGTATTTTTGCTATCAAGATTACTTCAGAATGTCAAAGAATGATCCACTGCTTTTTCGTGAAGCTGTGGAATGGCAGCAAGAAGCAACAAATTGCCATGAAGTGGTGAGTATTCGCGCGAATGTATTTTGAAAGCTTAGTAAGTTTCGGCGAGAACTGGTCCCAAGATTTCAACCTTACTCATTATCTGTTTTTGTTTCTGTGACCGTTTGATACACAGCTCTTAAAAAAGGTAGTCTTTCCGATAGTAACTGTTTTTATATCTATGTGTTGAGTCATGTGCGAGAACTGTCAATGATCAAATCCTCTTCTAACCCTACAATTTTTGGTCGGATTGTTTATCATTGAATTGTTGCTCGATTATAGC